TATTGGATATTTAATTTTTCGTTTTATTTAGCGTTATAATGTGCTTATTTATTCATTATATTCAGAGTAGACTGAAGTGATTAGATAAATTCAAATCAGAATCTGTTTGGTGTGTCTCTGTAAGCTGGGACGTCCCAAGCCAATATAGAGTTGTATTGAACAGGAACTGTTCATCATGAAGTGATATAAATCGAGTTTTGAGAAATAGTTAGTAGAATTAAGATGTGATTACATTTAAAATTATTTATTTAAAAATATACATTATTTTTAGCTAAGTTTTTAACATGCGATTTATATCACTTCGAAAAATGTACAACTGGGATTGTATTCCCCGCGATTGATGATATAGCGAGAGCATTACCAACATATTCGGATTTCAGGGTTCCCCGCGTTCACGGCGGCTGCAGCCGCTGCGGCGGCGGCAGCGCAGAAGACCAAGTTCACCAGCACGGACAAGCAAATCGAGGGTCCCGAAGGTTGCAACCTCTTTATTTATCACCTACCGCAAGAATTCAGCGATACAGACCTCATTTCTACCTTTTTGCCCTTCGGCAATGTCATATCCGCCAAAGTTTTCATAGATAAGCACACGCACATGAGTAAATGCTTTGGTAAGTTGAATTAACATTGAATAACAAAAGAATGTTTGAATATACAGATAAATTTTGTGATAAATACGAGTGAAACGACGTAATACAGATGAATAGAATCCATGTATTTTACAATATTGTTTTAGGTTTCGTATCGTATGACAATGCGTCGAGCGCGCAAGCGGCGATCCAAACGATGCACGGTTTCCAGATTGGCATGAAGCGACTGAAGGTCCAGTTGAAACGGTCCAAGGATGCCTGCAAGCCGTACTAGCTGATGACACAGAACGTTCGTAGGTAGATACCAAGGACTTCTCGGACACCTTGGCTCGACGACGTCCTTAGTCTGGACGACGCTCGCGCATTTAATTAACAACCGCGATGGTTGATTATTCCGCAGCGGAATCGCGTCTAGCGATAGGTCTAGGTAGACAAGCGAAAGTATTAGGTGGCCGTATTCCACAATACTCTCTAGTCAAGCAGTATTTTCCACGAAGGTAGCGAGTTAATGGGCTACATATCGAGCGTTCTCGGACGCCGAAGAGGAGACGTCGCCGCTCGACACCTTCGCCGTCCTATCGAAACGAGGCTGTGATAATCCAGAAGACTCTCTTGTCTCCATCGGACTGACTTTTCTTCCGAGGTGCAGGAACGTAATTTATTCTTTTAACGTGTCGCTTGTGCGAACTGTCCCGCCGAATTGTCTTCTCTCTTCTACCTGCCGGTCCGCCCATGTGTGAACACTTTCAGTACATTTTTAATCCAACAATTTGTTTATTCCGTTCACGTCCGTGCCACATTGCAATCGTATATCATCTGTTAACTCTTCCAGTGCCGAGTTAAATATACATAGATATCCTGCTTTTTTGATAATCCATTTCAATAATTTTTAACAGGAGACGGAATAGGATTAACGAATTAGTATTAGTTCATTATTATATCGGACCATTTGATTTCATAGCCAATAATGATCGATTTCAGAGACTATGACCGGTATTTCTAGAGCTCATTCAGATTTAGTGAATCTGACGAGGTATAATTAATCAAGATTAATAGTAAACATTTGCAACCAATTCTTTTATGAATTAAATGAATTATTTTTTATGTTAAAAGCGCTTTTGTGCATTGAATTATAAAAAATGTTGATATATATGTTGAGTATTATTTATATTCTCGTTAAAAAAGGGATTTTGCATGCAAGAAATATGCAATACTTTATTGCGCCTTATTACTTTTATTTTTTCATAAAAGACAGAAATTTGCATGTAAAAGCTTCATAATGTGATTGTGAAATATCTATTCATTTTGAATCTCCTAATTCGATTTTTACCGTCACAAAATATAGAATCGGTATTTAGCTTTTAAAAAGAACAGCTCTAGATGTTTCTCCGTTTATACCGAGACGTATAAAGATTTTTCAAGTTTAAATTTAACTCGATTTACGGGTTAAAGTTCGTGTCGGGTTAAAATCTTGTCCTAGGAATAACCTTAGCGGCGCGCATTTAGCGTTAAACGTGCTCATTCACTTCTGAATTCGATTCATCTAGTTACGAAGAACATATATAATATAAGCACACAGTGCTTCGTTAAATTGAATAGCCACGTTTGTACGCTAAATGCGCAATGATATAATACGGGTCTTTCAAATATTCACCCGTAATATCTGCCTGTACTCGCACGGTCTCGAAAATATGTTCGCCTCTTCGAATCTTGAAGGTGCAAGCCTGGCGGCACGTTCCTGGATGATGCAATCAAACTACATTTCGTTGCAAAGGCTGCCAGTAAAGCTTTCTGTGCTAACTTACTGTTGCACAAAGTGAAATTACGTACGTGAAGTTCACTAACAACGTAGCTTTTCCCCTAGGAGGGTAAGACTAGTTCGCTTTGAATTTTCACGCAGCGTTCGAGTCCGTACCTCGTAACCATTTGACGATTTGACTTTTCTCTCTGTTTTTTCTTTCTGTAATTTTTTTGTAATTTATCTCTTTCTATTTTTTAATTTCTTTATCTTGTTCTTTATATCAATAACCACAGTAGTTTGAGCTGGTAATTGTACCAGCAAATACGAGCGATAAACACAAAGAACTGTATATCTCACTCATTGTAGTTATGTCAGCAGCTATTATATCGCGTGTATCTCCTTCGTTTATTGTTCGAGACGCACAGAATTCGATACGTTCTCACGTGATAATAATATCACTAAGTTTTTTTTATGGTTAATCACGCTACGATGCTTTATTAGTTAGTAATACTAACATTGCCATGTGATTTTGGGGGGGGGGGAGGGGGGAGGAATATATGCAACCGATCGTCGTAGGCGGTGGACAAGTCAGTTGTTTCCATGAAAGTAAAAAAATGTAATTTATGTTCAATACAAACATTCTATTCATTATTATTTTATTGATGATTTGAGTTTAGTACAATTGATACCAAACAACTTTTGAATATAAAACTGCTATAAAAAGTACTATGTGTAATTTGTATGACTGTTACAGTCATTCTCTGTAATCTGAATCTGGAAACCATTGGCGAATTTCACTAATTGCATTAGCAACGAGTTTTCACAGTGCGCTGTCGAACACTTTGTTTCTCTTTCCTTGTGACTGTCTGTCAAGCTGAATTAAAGTGGACGCTCGTTGCTCGTGTTTTAAAAGGACGATTCGGAAAAGTACCTGTGTACACGATGCACGGTGTCATCGGTTTGGAAGTCCCGCAAATAATTCGTTTTAATGTATATACTTTTTAATGTATTCTAATCGTCGTTCTGTGTGCAATTCTCTCATCAGACATGCAGCTTGTGAAATATTTTGTCGAAGCGTTATTACAACGCAATAAAGCAATACTTCAAAGTCATTTCGTAGAAAATAGTAAAATTATAACTTTAGCTTCTGATAACATACTTAATCCGTTAGATCTTCTTTTTTAAGGAACTAATCATATCGTGCTACATGTTCGTTTTGTGTCAGATAATAACAAACGAATTAAAAATTCGTATGATTGTTGTTATCTTACCTAAAATGCATGTCTGCAAAGACAATTGGGCATAATAGGTTTTTGCGGGACCTCGGAAAAACCGCCACCGCGCGCGTTTGCCCGGGGATAAATCTTCATATCTGGTGTGTGGTGGTGACTAACATGTCCGTGTGTTTGTTTGTGTGCCAGCAGGTGGCCTGTGACGTTGTGACCGTGTACTCTCGATCGGAGTCGCCGTGCCATGTCAGTCTCAGTCAGTCAAATCAGTATCGGTCGTTCGCTCGTCCGGTCGATCGATCAATCACGATTCCCCGGTCAGTCTCTCGATCAGTCTATCTGTGTCTGTCGGTGCCTGTACAAAGAACAACACCCGCCCACGCGCTCTCACTTCTGCCGTGAGATCCTCCGCCTTGTTGACCTTTTCTCTATCTCTTCATCTTATCTCCTCAACCTCTTTTGCGCCTATACCGCCTATCCACCAAGTCGCGACATCATTCATACTTCACGATCGCACCGAGCGATTGCTTGTCCTCCCGATCGCAGCTGCGCATGTAAAACACTGGACGAATCCTCGGACATGCAGAAGAATTCACGGTGCTGGGCAAATGAAAGTTGTGGCCGAGAAAGTGCACACGAAATGTGGAGGAGCGCAATGAGAAAGAAGAAGGCTGCGAAAGTGGAACAGAAAGGAGGAAGATGCACCGACGACCGACCAGGGTTCCTCGAACGAAGCTAACGCGTTATGTTAACTGTCTGTCCAATCTCCCTTCCCTCTTATGTATATACAGATATATAAATATATCATGCATATATGTATATACACATATATGTGTACGTGTGTATGGTATGTGCGTGTTTGAGAAGATTCTTATAGCTAATTAACGGTAGGCGATGCTCTACGTTTCACGGTGAAAGAGGACAAAAGGACAAGCGAGGAATGTATGGCGAATGAGCTGTGCGAGAAATTTTTCTTATACATAACTATACATATACATAGTTATACATACATGTTCATAAATCGAATTATCGACTGAGAACTATTTTTATCGGCTCTACTATCGGGATCGTTGTCGCAGCGCCTGTTTATACATAAATATACATATGCATATGTGCGTATGTATCGCGGCAAATTGGACGTGTAAACGAGATAAATGTATGTCTGAAGAATCATGAAAGATGGAGGCGGAAAGGGAAACGCGAAAGGACGAACAATGATCGTGCGGGACCGACGCGCGTGCGATTTCTTAGGTTTAAATCGTGCAAATATACCAAAAACGAAACGGATACAAAGAATTAAACAAAAAAAACCCGATAGATAGCAAAGAAAACGAATATAAGAGACATTTTGTAGTAATGACTTTGTGATAAGATTGTATCGTATAGGGGACCGTGGTCTCAAACTGAAACTGGGCCGGATCGCTCAGGAATAAACACATCAGGCGTCACACATTTGTGCATTCAATTATTCTATATTGTTATCAAGACACTTCACGAATAGTCAAGTACAGAAGATGCGACAAACTTTTAATGAATTTTAAAATCGGACGAGTTTCCCGACCGTACACTTGCATCGTCTTCTTCGTCGAAATAATAAATTGCACTTTGTGCGATTAATCTTAGGAAAAATTAGATATGAGATTGATCGGACAGGTTTATCTGCATTGATTCAACGAAGTAAAAGTCTCTTATCAAGTGATATCTGAATACGAAAAGACAAAATGGATTGCTATAATAATTGCGAAATAATTTCGCAATTAGAAGGAAAAGACGCACTCGAATAAGTGCATCACGCAAGATATTTTAAGATAATTCATTCTTGACATTGAATATAAATTTACTTCTTGGAAGTAAACAGAAATACATTTTGATTTTTTGAAAGTTCTATCGATCATAAATCTATGTAATTTTGCGTAATTAAAAATATTAATAAGCAAACATGATTCTATGTAAAATTTATTTTTGCATTATTTCTAAAACGATGATCACAATTCTTATTATAACTTATCGAGAGAAGACAAATGTATATTTATGTTGCAATTAATGCAATTGACTTTGAATAAAATAGATTTATTACAAGCTTGCTTTTAAGTGCAGATAAGATACAAATTTAGAATGAAATATTTTCAACATGATAAATCACTATTTTTAGTTAGACGAACATCACAAAAATTGATTTCATGACAAAACTGTGCGATAATTGTATTCGAATGAATTAAATTAAGATCATGCAAGGATATATATATATATATATATATATATATATATATATATAC